TTATTGGCTGCTGGCTGGGTTACGCTAGCAGAAACAGTGAAGTGAGTCACACTGCTTTCAGTGCAGCTCCTCACACCATCTGCTCTCCCTCTGCTTCGACAGAGGGCCACAGGGAGGGTTTGTACAAACTGGGAAATGAAATCAACAGCAGACGCTGGGAAACAATGAAGCTGTTTCACATCTTTACAGTAGTTCCTTTCAGCAGTAATTAGGAATTAGTGTCATGTGTTCAGTACTATATTTACTCCAACTGTGATTGGGTTCATAGGTCACTTTTTATTCTTCAACCACAATGGGAGGCTTCATAGGTCAATTCTTGAAGCACAGTCTCTCGGTCTATCAAAGCTAGCCAGAAGATAAGCCTTATCAGTGGGTCAGGGGTGTTTGTTTTGTCCTTAAAATATCTGACATTGGGTATAAAATATATCTCATTTTGTAAGATATATTTTTCTTTTTTTTCCCCAAAGAAGCTCTTAAAAATAGCATTGCATTGCATTGCATGATGGAATACACCGGGTCTTTACTTCTTTTGTGACAGTTAACAAATTATGTCCTTCTTGGAATACACACAGTTCTAATTACGACAATGTTAGAAAAAGTACACACTGAGAGGCATTAAAATTCCAACAGATAAGTACTGGAACCAATAACATTTGTTGCCTTTAATTCCTCTCAGTAAAAACAAAGGCAGTCTGTATACACAAGATGGTAAACATCTATGTCTAGCTCAGCCTACCAGGGGAAATGAGAATGACAAAATGTCAGAGTCTAGACTCTGCTCAGGACAGTATGTTTTGTGTACTGCAGTTAAGATTAGGGTACTGTTGTACGTTCAGAGACATAACTTAAAATACACCTACAAAAATCAGTATTATAGATTTAAAAAATGCATTTTCCCCATCTTCTTTCTATATATATATACTGCTTTATCTGAAATGCAAATAAATCATTCTCTGGATCTTTTCTCACTCAATGGCTGCATTGATAGCATTGGCGTTGAAAAGAATACTGTACCATAAATACGTTACTAATAAGACATTTCCTGAAATCACATAGCTCGTGTGCTTTATTTTTGTTATCTCAAAAAACACACGCTGTCACTAAAATAACTAGAACACTAGGTATGTGATCATTGACCTCAAGGGTGCTGTGTTTTCACTGCGTGATCGTACATGATTTTAATCTCACCCGCTCACACCAAGCTGATGTGAAACCAGGCCATGCCTGGGTTTAGAACTCAGTGGTGAAGGAAGAGGAAGATGTACAGGGTTATTCATATAGAAAGAGAATCGCACAGCAGTTTCCAAACCCCCCTAACCTCCTGGGCCTAGACGCGTGCTGTCTTCTGCAATCGCCCTGCTCCAAGAAGCAAAACAAAAGAAACATGCGTATCGTACTGAGAGAGTAATCGGATATTTCATCTTGTAGATAAAAAACAGACGCAAGACAGCCCTTCAGCGACTGCCAGCCTGCCCTCGAGACTCCTCACCCTGCCTGCTCCAGGCCCTTCTTCTGGAGGAGCACACCCCAACAGGGGCATGAGGGAGATGGAGATCTAGACAACTGCACCACACTGGAGGGAGCTCGTTTTCGGAAGGCTGCCCAAGCCCTTGAACTCTGAAGCACGCCTATGAAAAACTCCCAAAACGCTGCTTCTCAACATGCTCCTCTGCTCATCAGCCTGAACCTGAATGTGGTCTTTTGAACACATGTAAGGCATGAAGGTCTCGGCTGCCCACTGCTATTTTTACTGTTTGCTTTTGTCGTTTTTGCATGTACCCTTTATAGACTGTGCTACAGTTTCCTTTCCATTCAGAATGAACTCACTGCTGTCATGGAAAGTAAATTTTTCTTCCCTTACATTTTGACCATGTAATCAAATCAAAACCTAGACACCCTTTCCCTCAGTCAGTTGATAAGTTCTCCAGAGCTTTGAGCTTCTTGCAATTACATGGAGAAAAACT